GCAGGAGCCACAAAAGCTTCCTGTTGGAGCAGACACAAATCTTCATCTTGCAGCAGACACAGAAGCTTCATGTTGCACCAGACATAGAAGCTTCCTGTTGCAGCAATCACAATAGCTTCGTGTTGCAGCAGTCACAAAAGCTTCATGTTGCAGTAGATAAAAAAGTTTCATTTTGCAGCAGACACAAAAGCTTCATGTTGCAACAGACACAAAAGCTTCGTATTGCACTAGACACAACAGCTTCATCTTGCCGTAGACACAAAAGCTTCATGTTGCAGCAGACACTAAAGCTTCATGTTCCAGCAGACACAAGTGCATCATGTTGTAGCTGACACAACAGCTTCATCTTGCTGTAGACACAAAAGCTTCATGTTGCAGCAGACATAACAGTTTCATCTTGTAGTAGACACAAATGCTTCATATTGTAACAGACACAAAAGCTTTATGTTGCAGCAGATACAAAAGCTTCACCTTGGAGTTGACACAAAAGCTTCATGTTGCAGCAGACACAAATGCTTCATGTAGCAGCAGACACAAAAGCTTCATGTTGCAGCAAACACAAAAGCTTTATGTTGCAGCAGCCACAAAAGCTTCATCTTTCAGCAAACACAAAAGCTTCATGTTGCAGCAGACACAAAACCTTCATCTTGCAGCAGACACAAAAGCCTCATGTTGCAGCAGACACAAAGGCTTCATCTTGCAGCAAACACAAAAGCTTCATGTTGCAGCAGACCCAAAAGCTTCATCTTCCAGCAGACACAAAAGATTCATGTTGCAGCAGTCACAAACGCTTCATCTTGCAGCAAACACTAGAGCATCATGTTGCAGCAGACACTAGAGCTTCATGTTGTAGCAAACACAAGAGCTTCATCTTGCAGCAGACATAATGCTTCATCGTGCAGCAGGCACAAAAGCTTCATCTTGCAGCAGATACAACAGCTTCATGTTGGAGCAGACACAACAGCTTCCTCTTGCTGTAGACACAAAAGCTTTATGTTGCTGAAGTCAGAAAAGCTTCATGTTGCAGCAGACACAAAAGCTTCATGTTGTAGCAGACACAAAAGCTTCATGGTGCAGCAAACACAACAGCTTCATCTTGCAGCTGGCACAAAAGCTTTATGTTGTAGTAGCTTAAAAAAGCTTCATCTTGCAGCAGACACAAAAGCTTCATGTTGCTGTAGTCACAAATAGACATTGGCAGCATGCCGAGCCAAGCTCAGGTCGACCCGGGTCGACTCGCCTTTTGGCGAGTTGAGCTGGATTTTTTTTTGGCTGGCTTGACTCGATTTGAGCCGGGTCGAGCCGGTTGAGCCGCGCGTCTCGGCTCGGCTCGACCGGAAAAAACACATCGAGCCAGGTTCGAGCCGGCTCCATTTCGGCTCGATTCCTAGCCAAGGCATGCTAGACATCGGGAAAACAGATAAGCCAGGCTCCAGATCTATTCTCCGACAACCACCAGCTGAGCGGTTTACTACAAAATTCGCAACCCCCTGCTAAGGGGTCATGTATGATTTCGCAACCTCGTCTGAGGGGACAGTTGTGGATTTCGCAACCCCTTTAAAGAGGTCACTTTCGAAACATCCTCTTTGGGGGATTCATTACGAATTTCGTAACTTGTCAATACGAAATTTACGAATTTTTTAACCCTACTGAGGGGCCATCTATGAAATTTGCAATTCTATTAGGTCAGTTACGAATTCGTAACACCCTACCGAGGAGTCACTTTCAAAATTCGCAACCATGGGGTCAGCTCCTACGAGGGGTCAACGTCGTCAGCAAGGGGTCAACATCGACATCGGGAAAACAGATCAGCACTCTATGATTTGTCATGCCCATTGCCAACACCTAGCCCACACGCACCCCTGTCGAGCCAAGTTGAGCCGGCTCAAAAGTCGAGCTAGGGCTTGGCCTAGCTGGTTTTGACCGAGTCGAGAGGGCGAAATTTTCCGGTTGGCTTGACTTGTGCCGAGCCCACTCGGCTCGACTTTTCCCTGGCTCAAAGTCGAGCCGAGCCGAGCCGAGCCAGGCTCGGTATGCTGCCCATGTCTAGTCACAAAAGCTTCATCTTGTGGCAGACACAAAAGCTTCATGTTGCAGCAGACACAATAGCTTCATGTTACAGAAGACACAAAAGCTTCATGTTGCAGCAGACACAAAAGCTTCATGTTGCAGCAGAAAAAATCAACACTCGACCATGCACAGGATGTGAACCCAAGACTTCAGTTGAATGGGATGAGACGATGGCATGTGCCATAAGGCATGTGGCACTTTTTTGCCACATGCACGCACCTATGGCTCGGTTGATGGCATGTGACATGTGGCCTGTGTCATATGGCTCAGGAGTCTGCTTCCTGGCATGCATGGAGGAAGGAGCGAGTTATGGCGAGGGCGGCTCACAGGATGGAGAGGGCAGCAAGGTTGCCAATGGCTGTTGGAATTGACCCTGTCAGCCCGTTTTAAGTGAGGCATCTCATATGCGTGTCACACACAGACAAGAAGGTGTGGGGAGGTGAACAGGGAAAAATATCTTGTAGATATCCTTACCTTGGTTGCAATCGTCCATCTGCTTTGAGATGGTGTGTCTTGCGTTCTATGACTTTTTGCTAAAAGCGAAGTTCTACGGTCAACCTTCTGCTAAAACCTTCTGCTCATCCGCTATCATGTTTAACGAAGTGTGTTGTGTGTTGCACTCTTTCTTCCACGAGATGGACTTATTCAGCAACCACGGGATGCAAGGGCCGCCATAGGGCTGCAAGGCAAGTGAGGGAGGTCGAGTCAAGGTGGTGAAGAGACAATGGAAAGGAGCCTGGTAAAGGGTGGCAGAAGCTGGAGGTCCATGTATATATCACACACAACCACACACAACAACACACAACAGCACACAACAGCACACAACAGAACACAACTGCAAGATGGGGGAACTGGAGAAGTGTTCTCATAAGGTGCCGAGATTGGTGAGGGTGAATATGGATGAAGGGATGGAGCCCTGGATCCGATTCTGGCTTAGCCTCCTATGCAGGCACAACACAGGGGGCAACATCGGGGACAATATGGGGCACATGGGAAGGAAGTGACACGGACATACGGCCACGAGCAGTAGAGCGAAAGACCACGGCAGAACCCCACATGGGCTTAGAGAAAAGCCAGGCTCAGCTCGACCCAGCTCCGTATGATTTTTTTGGCCGGCTCGACCTAAGTCGAGGCGAACCGCGCGGCTTGGCTTAGCTCATTGAACTTTTTTGGTCGATCCAATGTCGAGCCAGCTCGATTCCGGCTCGACTTTGACTCGATTGTGGCTTGGCCAGGGCTGCCCGCGACTCGCTCGCAGGGGTAAAAAAACAACCCCCTAGAAATCGAGAACCTCTTTTTGGTTTTCGACTTCCAACCTACCAGAGAGCTTCCTTGGCCCACTCCTTTCACCAAATCTACCAAACTTAGCAAGACCTCACTCGTGAAGTTAATATAAAGTTATCCTAGTGTTTCACGCTGTTTAGGGTTTAGTACCTTATTCCGTTTAGAGCAACCAGCTGAGGCGTTTCGGGTTGGCAGCCTATAAAAGCATAATTTAGGTAAAAAACATGGCCCAAAACACGTTTTCCCCAAAATTGAGCATAGCCGAGCTGGCTCGAAAGTCGAGCCAGCACGTGGCTCGAACCTGAAAAGGCGAGCCAAGCCGGCAAAATTTCCATCCGGCTCGACTCGAGCCGAGCTGGCTCCGCTTGCCTTTTCCTTGGCTCGAGGTCGAGCCGAGCCGAGCCGAGCCAGGCTTGGCTCTAAGCCCATGTCTACCCTGTTAGAAACAGAAAGGTTCAGTTTATTGATGAAGCAAAGGCATTACATAGGAAGAGAGAGATGAGCTAGGAAGGGAAGGTTGGAAGGGAAGGGGGGGCTAGGACCAATCACAAGGGAGGGAGGATCCTTCCAAATGTGGTTGACCACCAGTTGGAGGTGGTCCAAGTGTGGTGTACCACCAGTGGTTTAGCCAACCCACTTGTGGTGCCCCCACAATTGTGGTCCTTGTGTTTGGGGGCTCCAACTACAATTGGGTTGGATTGACACCCCAACACAGGTGTACACCCAACTAGGGATGTAAACACCATATACACAACTAGCATAGCATGGTATATTCTAACACAACCCCATAGCATGCAAAGCTAGTGTATATGTAGGGTACAACCCCAGAATCAGGAAGGGGGGCGGGGCCCAAGGCCAAGAAGGCGGAGGAGGGCAGAGTGCGCGGTCTTCGGGAGGGCCTTGGTGAAGATGTCGGCCAAGTTGGCCTCTGCAGCGATCTTGCGGACCACCAAGTGACCTTGCTGGACCAACTCTCGAACGAAGAAGTAGCGGAGTTCAATGTGCTTGGAGCGGCCATGGAAGACAGGGTCCTTTGTGAGATGGATGGTGCTGGCGTTGTCGCACCAGAGGGTGGGACAGCGCTGAGGAGCACCGATCTCAGCAAGGAGGAAGGTGAGCCAGCGAGCCTCCTGAGCGGCCATGGTGCAAGCATAGAGCTCAGCCTCGCAGGATGAGAGGGCGATGGAGGAGGAGCGAGTGGAGCGCCAGCTGATGAGGCCGCTGCCAAGGGTGAAGCCGTAGCCTTGAGAGGAACGGCGATCCGACTGGGAGTCAGCCCAGGAGGAGTCACTGAAGCCAGAGAGGAGGGGAGGAGAAGAGCCGCCGAGGGTGAGGACATAGTCCTTGGTACCACGGAGGTAGCGGAGGACCCGCTTCGCTGCAGCCCAGTGCTCATCAGTGTGGCGACCGGTACCGACGAATCGAGCAAGAACACTGATGGGGTAGGCAAGGTCGGGGCGGGTGCACATCATAGCGTACATCAGCAAGCCGACGAGCTCAGCGTAAGGATGGTCAGAGGAGGAGGGAGCAGGAGGAGGGGCAAGCTGGTGGTCGGTCTGCAGGGGAGTGGTAACCGGCTTGGCCTGCACCATGTCGAACCGCTGCAAGACTTGGTCGATGTAGAAGGACTGAGAGAGGGTAATGGTGCGCGATGTGCGGTCCCGGGTGATGGTCATGCCCAGATAGTGCTTGAGCTCACCCAGGTCCTTGCACTTGAGGCGCGCATGCAGGGCGTCCTTCACTTGCTGCATGGCGGCAGCATCGTCAGCGAACAGGATCATGTCGTCGACATACACCAGGATGAAGAAGCGGGTGGGAGAGGAGCGAAGGAAAAGGCTGGCATCAGACTGAGAGGCGTGGAACCCCAAGGACTGCAGAGTGGCAGCCAGCTTGTTGTGCCACTCACGAGGAGCCTGCTTGAGGCCATAAACCGGGCGGCGCAGCTCCCAGACTGTGTTGGCAGGGAAGGCTGCATGAAAGCCTGGAGGCCGCCGCAAGAGGACCCGCTCCTGGAGCTCGCCTTGCAGGAAGGCGTTGGAGACATCCATGGAGGCAATGCGAACAGCATAGTCGAGGATGGCACGGAGAGTTGGGAGCTTGGCAGTGGGAGAGAATGTCTCCCAGTAGTCGATGCCATGGGTTTGGGTGAAGCCCTTGGCACAATACCGGGCCTTGTAGACCGGCTCCTCACCTGGCAGCTGCTTCACTCCGAACACCCACAGGCCTTCAAGAATGACGTCGTCAGGAGAGGGGACAATGTTAACGAATGAGGCATTGCGGATGAAGGCCTCGCATTCAGCAAAGATAGCCTGGATCCACTTGGCGGCATCGGGGCAGGTAATGGCCTCAAGGAAGTTGGACGGAGTGAATCTGGTGGGAGCGGTAGCGATGCCAAGGATGAGGAGGCCAAGGAAGCCCGGGTAGAGAGGCGTGAGGGAAGGTGTTTGTTGCTGAACGCCAATGAGCTCCTCATGGGAGTCCTCAATGAAGGGAAGGGAGGGTGGGGGTGGTGTTGGCCAACCCCATGGATGGCCTATGAGTGGGCCGTGAGAGCGAGTGTGGATGCGTGGGAGGATGAACGGAGAGGTGGTGCGGCGATGCCGATGAGGTTGCTGCAGTGGCTGCTGCTGCTGCTGCTGCTGCTGCTGCTGTGGCTGCTGCTGGTGCTGCTGCTGCACCTCCTGCTGCGGCTGCTGTTGCTGCACTGCCTGCGGTTGCTGCTGCTGCTGCTCCATCCGCTGCTGCACCTCCTGCTGCTGCTGCTCCATCCGCTGCTGCTGCTGCACCTGCTGCTGCTGCTATTGCTGCTGCTGCTGCTGCTCCTTCTGCTGCTGCTGCTGCTGCTGCTGCTGCTGGTGCTGGTGCGATGAGGCAGAGTGAGCAGGGGATTCAGGGACAGCTGGGTCGTAAATGTCACCTGAGGAAGGAGGAGGGGGAGGAGCAGGATTTGGAGGAAGGAGGGGAGCCTGGGGAAGGAGTGGGGGAATGACAGCATCAGCCCAGGTGAGGGGGCGGGAGAGAGGAGGAAGGGGGTCGGAAGGCGGAACAGAATGATAGAACGGGATGCTCTCATCGAACACCACGTTACGGCTCTGTAGGAGGCGGCCTGAGGACGGGTGAAGGAAGAGGTAACCAGGGGCAGAGCGAGCGTGGCCAAGGTAGACACAATCAATGGCCTTGGAGGCGAGCTTTCCTGCCTGCCGAGAGCGGTCAGGTGGGGGGATGAGGACATATGCCTTGCAACCCCAGATACGGAGAATGGCAGCATCTGGCTTGGTGCTAGCCCAGAGCTCAGTGGGAGTGACAGACTGGCGTTGAGGATGTGGGTAAAGATTAGTAAGGAGAGCAGCATGGACAAGGGCATAGCCCCAAAGAGAAGGGGGCGTGGAGGCATGAGTGAGGAGGCAGCGGGCCGTCTTGGTGATCTCACGAATGCGACTCTCAGCAACACCGTTCTGCTGAGGGGAGTGGGGAAGGGTATGATTCTGCTGGATGCCATGGGTTGAGCAGTAGGAGGAGAGGGTGCGGTTGAGAAACTCACCACCGCCGTCGGAATGGAGGCGGCGGATGGGGCGACCAAAGTGGACTCGGCACTGCTCGGCCCAGGTAACGATGACAGCAGGGGCCTCGGCCTTCGTGTGGAGGAGGAACACCGAGGAGTACCTGCTGTGGTCGTCGACTAGGACAAGCATGTACCGGTGCCCTTGGCGGGAAGGGGAAGGGTTAGGGCCCCAGAGGTCCATGTGGACGAGGTCAAGGGGGGCAGCAGCAAAGGAAGGATGACTGAGGTGAGGCTGTTGTTTGAGCTTTCCATGAATGCATGTGGCGCATGGGGGAGCGGAAGAGGACGGGAGGGGAGGAAGAGTGGGGGGAAGACCGTCAAGCAAGCGGGAGGAGACGGCTTTATGAAGTGTGGGAAAGTTCATATGACCAAGGCGGTGGTGGATGAGAACAGCGGGGTGGGACAGTGCGCGACAAGAGCATGGGGAGGAGGTGGAGTTGGAGGAAGGTGGCTCTAGAGGGAGGGGAGGGGGGAGAGTGGAGGTGCCTGCACGAGTGGTCACGTGGCATGAGGAGGGGCGGGGTGTGCGGAGGATGTACTGACGAGAGCGAGGGCAAAGTGGGAGGCGATGAAGGAGGCGGCGAGTGGGGCCGTGGAGGAGGTCACAGTAGGTGGCAGAGGCGGGGAAGAGGGTAGTGATGCCAGCCTGTTGGATTTCACGAATGGAGAGCAGGTTATGACGAAGGGAGGGAATGTGGAGACCAGTGACCACTCCAGAGGGGAAGGGGGGGCAGGGGAGGGTGGAGAGATGAGTGCAAGGGATGGAGAAGCTGGAATCAGCACCATGAACGTTGGTTGGGAAAGGGAGGGAGGTGAGGGTGCCGGCGTCTTTGAAGGCAGTTTCAGTGGCACCACTATCGAGAACAAAGTCAATCGTGAGCGAGGAGGGAGCTGAAGACACGGGGTACAGGAAATCACTGGCATTAAAAACAGAGGGATACATGGAAGTGGAAGCAGGGGAAGAACGCATGAGCTCGCCTAGAAAGCTGGAGTGGGAGGCGGGAGCACTAGGGGAAGGAGAGCCCCAGAGGGGAAAGCCAGGAGGACCTGGTGTGGCTGTGGCAGCCATGGCGGCGGTGCCAAAGCCAAGCTGCTGCTGCTGCCATGCAGATGCTGCGGCTGCGGCTCCTGCAGCTGCGGCTGCAGCCTCACCACCAGAGCCCCACTGCTGCTGCTGCTGCAGCAGCTGCAGCTGCTGGAAGCGGCGAAACTGCTGCAGCTCCTGGGGAGTTATGGGGTCAGCGACAGAGGAGGAGGAGGAGGAGAGCTGAAGATGAGAGGGGAGGAAAGACGGAAGAGTTTTGACATCCTGGAGAGAGGGGCGGGGATCCATGGCAAACCAGCGTGGGGGTGTGCCAGTGTTGCCGCGCTCGAACCAGGCGTCATCATACGCCTTGAAGCAGGTCGCGGGGGGATGGTTGGTTTGGGTGCAGCGCTCACCCGCCCTGGGACCAAAACGGCGAAGATAGGAACATGGGGGGAGAGTGCCAGGGCGGCCACCACGGCTACCAGATGAGCCACCACTGCCTCCACCACCACCACTGCTGCCACCCTCGACCCCGCCACCACCGCCGCCGGCTCCGCTGCCCCCACAACCGCCACCTCCACCCCCTCCCTGAGGGTTGGTGCGGCCGCCACGTGGGCGCCCGCCACGACGCGGCTGTGTGACTGCAAGCTGGGGGTTTTGGGACTCGGTGGAGTTCAGGCCGGAGGGGGGGGTTGAGAGAAGGCGGGCCTCAGCGTCAATGATCCATTGGACCACAGTGTCAAGGGAGGCGCGGGGCTGAGCCTCAGTGAAGGCGATGACGCGCACTTCATATTGAGGGGAGAGGCTTTCGAGGAGACGGTAGATCTGAAGGTTGGGGGGGAGAGTAGTCTGGCGAGCCTCAAGGCGGGAGGCAAGGTCCAGGAGACGGCTGGTGTAGTCAACGGCGCCAGCACTATGTTCGATCGTGATGCTGAAGTATTCCTTGAAGAGCGGTCCGACAGCATCGAAGTCGGTGCGTTCAAACATTGCCTCAAGCTCGAGCCAGATCTGGCGGGAGCCGATGCGACGTGCCTGGAAGTTGCGCATGAGCGCAGACGGGATGGCAAGGAGAAGGGCACCAGTAGCACGGCTGTCCGCCTCGAGCCAGGCGCGACGACGCTCAGCAAATCGCGCAGAGTCAGCGGCATAAGCGGCGGCGGTAGCGGCATGCTGGGTGCGGAGGGTTGCCGACCGCTCGTGTTCCTCCAACGCGATCAGGTAATCAGTATGGAGCACGAGGAACTCACGACGCTGAGTAACGAAGAGCTGCTCAACTTCAGCGGTGGCAGCGCGAGTGCTGGTGCCAACGGGTACCATGGGGGGCGGAGGTTCCTCGCCGGGATGGGGAATGAGAGGGGGGGGATCGCCAGGGTGAGGCGGCGGGTCCCCAAGGTCACCCTCTAGGAGACCAAGCATGATGTCCAGGAGGCGGAACGGCAGGACATACGCACTGCCGAGGACGCGGTGGAGGCTGCCGACAAAGGAATGCCAGTTGGTTGCTGAGTTGTCGGCAGCGCGCACGAGATGATCGAGGGTCGAGACGTCGACGGGAGGGGGAAAGGATGCCATTGGTGACACGGAGTGGGAGGAAGGCGACGGCGGGTGGACCCGCGGTGGCCGGGAGGGAGCGACGGCGGGTGGACCCGCGGCGGCTCAAAGAGGAGGGGAGGATGGGGATGGCTGTAGATACTGCTGCTGCTGCTGCTGCTGCTGCTGCTGCTGCTGCTGCTGCTGCTGCTGCTGCTGCTGCTGCTGCTGCTGCTACTCCTTCTGCTGCTGCTGCTGCTGCTGTTGCTGTTGCTGCTGCTGCCGCTGCTGCTGCTGCCACTGCTGCTACTGCCGCTGCTGCCGCTGTTGCTGCTGCTGCTGCTCCTTCAGCTGCTGCTGCTGCTGCTGCTACTGCTGCTGCTGCTGCTGCTGCTACTGCTGCTGCTGCTGCTGCTGAGTCTGCTGCTCCTTCTGGTGCTGCTGCTGCTTCTGCTGCTGCTGCTACGGCTGCAGCAGTGGTAAGGCGGCGATGAGCAGGTGCAGGTGAGGAGGCAAAAGATGGGGAAAGATGGCAGTTAGCTGATGAAAATAGGACTTGGTAGAAATTTCAGTAGCACTTCGTGATCACATCCAGGAAAGTGTGCAAACTTCGGAAAGCGATATCTGACAATCCAAGCGATGAAACAGTCCGAAATTTTACGACGTTGTAGCTGACACCAAGAGCGTTCTTTTAAAGTCGAATCACTCAATGCTGTCAACTATCGAGCGAGCTATGGCGTTTGGCGCATTGGGGGTTTTTGAAAATCCACCCAACAGAAAACTAGTTGAGAGGCGGCGGCTAGGAGTCTAGCAGCGGCGATGGAGGGGACGGCAATGAGGTGCACGTCGAAAGGGGACGGGGCGGAAGCGTGGGGAAGGATCGGGATTTAAAAGTTGGCGTGAGCCATTATTGCTCTATACCATGTTAGAAACAGAAAGGTTCAGTTTATTGATGAAGCAAAGGCATTACAAAGGAAGAGAGAGATGAGCTAGGAAGGGAAGGTTGGAAGGGAAGGGGGGGTTAGGACCAATCACAAGGGAGGGAGGATCCTTCCAAATGTGGTTGACCACCAGTTGGAGGTGGTCCAAGTGTGGTGTACCACCAGTGGTTTAGCCAACCCACTTGTGGTGCCCCCACAATTGTGGTCCTTGTGTTTGGGGGCTCCAACTACAATTGGGTTGGATTGACACCCCAACACAGGTGTACAC